CACAGAAGAGGACCACAGGGCCTCACTGCAGCATCCACGCACAGAAGAGGACCACAGGGCCTCACTGCAGCATCCATGCACAGAAGAGGACCACAGGGCCTCACTGCAGCATCCATACACAGAAGAGGACCACAGGGCCTCACTGCAGCATCCACACACAGGAGGGGACTGCAGGGCCTCACTACAGGCAAGGATGTGGAGAACTGTTGCTTCACACAATCTCAGCAACCCCTTCTGTGGAATGCGGTATGTCTGCACTCTTGAGGGTCTGTGGGGATGGAGCTTATACAAATACTTGGAGAACTCCAGGCATTTAGGCAAAAGGAACCAATGGCCATCTGCATTCATAGTCTCCCCACCCTGTCCCACGGCCCCTGGTGCTAGCCCACCGGTGTTCCTATTCCAGATGCCTGTTTTCCCAGTCTGATGCAGCAGGTTTGCCTGGCAGGAGCCTCCTCTGGCTTCTGAGCCATTGCCGTAAGCCTTCTTCTTCCCCGAGTTCAGACCCAGGCTGGGAGGGCTCAGAAAGCAGAGATGCTCTGTGCCTTGGCACACACAGAGGGGACAAGGGTTGAGCATGTGGGTGGCCTGTCGCTTTGCCTAGGGAGTGCCCACCTGTCTGCTGTTGCAAGCAACTCCCCTCCCCACCCCAACACACACAGGAAAAAAGCCATGCATGGACAAACAGCAAAAAGGGGGTGGTGGTGAGGGGAACATTCCCCGGGAGAGTGGGTTTTCAAAGCCTTGCAGCCGTCACCCATCACCAGCTCTGGGTTTTCGTTGTTGTTGTTCTTCGTTTTGTTTTGTTTTGTTTTGCACCAGCTCCTCTGAGAAGCACCGTGGTTCTCCTGGGCTCTGCCAGTTCTACTCGGAAGCTGCCAAGGTTTTCTGACATCGAGGCACAACTTTCCCTCAGCTCCTAGGCAGAGAGGGCTGTTTCCCATGAGGCTCAGAGCAATCCAGGGGCAACAGCAACAGTGTGCACCTACCAAGGCCACCATCCTTGTCCCCTTATGTCACCTGTACAGCTGTCTCCTACCCTGGCTCGTGTGTGTGTGTGTGTGTGTGTGTGTGTGTGTGTGTGTGTGTGTGTGTGTGTGTGTGTAGGCCAGAGGTCAATGTCAGATGTTTTCTTCATGATCTCTCCACGTTAATTTTTGAGACAAGGATCTCTTATTGGCCTGGAGCTCCCAGTTGGGCTAGGCTGGCTACCCTCAAGCCCCCAGGACGTCTTGTCTCCTCTCCTGAGTTCTGGGGTTGCAGGTACATGCTGCCTGGCTTTTTACAGTGTTCAGGTCCTCATGCTTGTGTGGCCTACACTTTACCAGAGGGCCACCCCACAGGCCCCCCAGCCTTGTTTTGAAGCGTTCTTTTCATTGCCTGTTCACAAGCCGGCTTCCTCTGTGGGCTTGGCCGCTTCCTCCCAGAAGCTTGGCCACAGTGTTTACTGCCCTGTGGGGTGGCCTGGAGGGCTGGCGTGGGGTGGTGTTTCCCACATTGCTGAGAAGTTTGGTGGGCAGAACACCCAGCTGCCCACAGTTTCCATTCCAGTCCGTCGGCCTTGGCCTGGACAGCAGACACACAGTCGACGGTGATAAGTCAATCCATGTTTACCTGGAATCTTCCACATGGGAGGCAATGACCTTGCTTGGAATCCAAGGATGGATTCTCTGCTAATGCTCTGGGCTGGGGTGGGGTGGGGGGATAAAGAGAACCACCTTTGAGGAGGCCAGACCACCATCGTGCTATGTGACCAAGAGTCCACTCTCTGTCCTCTTTTGGCCTCCGAGTCACCCCAATAAAGCACCAGGGCCAGGCACCACTTAGGGCCTGAAATCCCACCGTTTGAGTCAGAAATTCCATCCTGGAAAGGAGGGCCTCGTGTCTCCCTAGCAGCACGGTGTTGTCCTAAGACCTTCAGGTCAGGAAGGCTTTGGGTGTGTGAACCTGGGTGGGGATGGTGGCCAAGGAAGCTGTAGGCTTTGCTTCTGGGACGGGTGGTCCACATGGGGCTTCGTAACTGCTGTATGTTCTCCTTTACTCCAGATCAGCCTTACGGCGAGGAGGCCTGCTTTGGCCCCCAGGGAAAACGCTGCAGGAATAAGTGAACTGCGAACGATGTATCAGTGCTCTCAGATTGCAAATGTGCGTGTGAAGAGGAGCGGAATGACAAGAAGAAGGACAAAGATTCAGGCCGGTGGATTTGATTGGCATTTTTAATTTGTCTCTGAGACTCCTGACAACCCAAGTGAAAGTGCAGACACTCTCAGTACCTACCATTCTGGGCTGTTCCTTGGGTGCTTGTTCCCGTTAGGGTATACAGGGAATGGGTGGTGTCCCTGGGGAAGGTGTCCAAGGCTGTGCTCTCCATCCTGGAGAAAACTGCCCCGTGTCCGAGTGGACTGGTGTGTCGGCACAGCTACATTAGGGAAAAGCTCCATTAGAGAAAGTGGTCATCCATTGTTCCGGAGAGCACAAACCATTCCAGCCGTGGCCCTGGGAGATGATTTTTTCCCATTAGCTTCATCTAGATGGAAAATGAAAATGGATGAGGTCTTCAGTAGCAGCTGGAGAGCGAATACAGAGATAAGTCTCATAAAATGGCTTCTCAGAAGCCCTCGGTACAAGCCAAGGCCACCGTTCCAATCCACAGAACTGCCCTTGGGAGGACACAGGGCTGTGCACTGCCCATTTGGGTGGGTGGAGGGGCCATTGTCTACAAGGTGTGGTAGGCACTAGATCCAGGCCCTGGTAGGAGGTTCGCATTCAAGGTCCAGTTCATCCACCCGTGCTATCTCCATGAGCCCCATGCACAGGCCAGACTCTGAGCCTCCCAAATGGCAAAAAGCAGGACCCAGGACACAGTACCTCCCACTGTGCCCACACTGCAGTCTCAGGTGATGAACCAGTCTGCCTCCATCTTGGGCTTGAAAGCCATCTTATAGTATAAACAAACTAGGCCCATTCCTGTTTATGAGTAAATCTCTGTTTCTCAAGGATTGGGCCATGCCCCACCTGTAACCTTAACTACAAATGGTCTGTACTGCCTGTTCCAGGAAACAGCAACCATGTCTTTGTTTCAAAAAGTTGTTATGACCATCTTGTAACCTTACTTTTGTTTCTAAAGGTTGCTACAACTACTTTGTTAAGTTGCTTCTGTAATTCCACCTATTTGCCTGCCAAATTCCCCATTTGGAACCCCCCTACCCCTGAGCTATAAAAGCCCTTATCTTTCCCATGTCCAATGCTGTGGTATCTGGAACCCCGCCTTTAGGGGGAGACAGCCCATGTACACAATCAAAAAGCTTGCTTGAAATAATTAATTTGGCCATGATGATTTGGGTTGGTGGTCTTTCTCCTTGAATCTTTGGGATTAACACAAGTCCTGTGTCCCCTGATCTTGGAGGTAAGGCTGTGGCTCTTGGCCCTTGGACAATGGGTGACGAGGGCTCCATGTGCCAGCTGCTCAGAGGTAGGAGGAGCCTATGTGCTCAGCTGAGCTGGGGTCCAGTGAGAAGGACTTCAAGTCACCGACCTTCAGCCAGGACTACTGGCAGCCCTCCCTGCCTTCGGTGAGAGATTTGGGGGAGTGAGTCTAGAGCAGCAGAATCCACTGCCACCCAGGGGAGAGGCTCACACACACGGATTCCCACACAGGCAGAATCCTCTCGTTCCTCCTCATGTTCCTGTCCCTGCCAGGCCCTTCCCGGGTGTGAGTGCTCTCCCATCTCTACACCCACACCACTGCCCAGGCAGGATTACCCAAGAACAGCTCCAGGAAAGTAAAGGCAGCTGACCCAGGACAGGCAACAGTAGGGCCTTGGGTCGTCTGGGGCTTCCTGTCTAGAGCAGGGACACACCGGAAGTGACAGGACAGCTGCCCGAGTGCTGTCCTTCCTTGCCAGCCACGGAGGATTAGTTCCAAGGGACTCCCCAGGCCCCTGAAAGCACAGCCCTTGTAGGAAACGGTCAGCATTGCGATACCTTGGTTTACCCTCCTCTAGGCTACTGAGGTTTAAACTACTGAGACCTGGTGTTGTGCCAATGCTGCCAGAAAGGTCAATAAACGCCATCATGGAGGACAGGAAGATAGAAGAAACAAGTCTGTATGCGTGCAACTTTTAAAAATGGCAGCTGGGCGGTGGTGACGCACCTTGATCTCTGAGATCAAGGCCAGCCTGGTCTACAGAGCGAGTTCTAGGACAGCCAAGGCCATACATAGAGAAACCCTGTCTGGAAAACAAAACGAAACAAGACCAAACCAAAAATGTTCTACTTGTAATTGGTCCAAAGTTTTTGAATGTAGCGACAGGAGAAATGGCTAGGCGGTTAAAAGACCCAGGTTCAGTTCCCAGCACCCACATGGTGGCTCACGACTGCCTGTAACTCTAGTTCCAGGGAACCTAGCACCCTCTTCTGGCCTCTGTAAGCACCTGCACCACATGTGATACAAATAAAGCTATGGAGGTATACACATAAATAAATGCCCTTTTAAAGTTATGGACTACGTAGATTTGGAGGGTCAGCTGCACACACGAAGACAGCCAGCAGCCATCTAGAGGAGGTCTCCTCACTATCACGGGGACTTAGGAAAGGATCACACCGAGGTGAGCAAAACTTGCTGGACCACTGAGGAAGGGTAAGCTTATTCTGAGAGGGGGCTGAGGCCAGGGGTTGGGCTGTGGTATGTCTCGGGGGTCTAGGGTGCAGAGGGCAGCAGCAGTCAGGGTGAGGGGCTGTGCAGCTGGGGTCTGCAACCATGTCCTCAGAGGTCTAGGCATCCTTGAGGGAGCTAAGAGTCCCACTGTCAAAACAACAGCGGATGACTCATAGCAGCCTGGAGCCGGAATGAGGTTTGATTTTTGTTTACCAGAAGTTCCCTGTGGATTTTTATTTCTTTCTTTCTTTTAAATTATTTTTTGAGAGAGAGAAAAAAAAAAAAAAACCAAACAAGCAGAAATGGATGTCGCACTGGGCCCACTGGGTTGGGGAGGCTGGGATGTGGCAGATCCTTGGGTCTGGCTGTCCTTGGGGTAGGGGGTAACCCAGGGCCTGGACAGCCACCTTTGTGGGGGTGAGGGCCTGTGCTTGGGACCCCTACTGAGAGGGTGGAAGGTGAGTGGCAGGCCGAAAGGACGGCAGCCTCCTCCGGGAAGGCCCCGGAGTCCAGTGGAAACAGCGGGAGGCAGAAGGCTCCAGGCCTGGCACACACCTGCTTGCCACCCACACACTCGTGGAGGATGTCCAAGGCTCTGGTCTCCCCGCATGGTGGCCTCTGGGGAACACCTTCCTGAATCCAGCATTGTTATCACCTTCCTTGGGGCCAGCTTCAAAGGGTCCCCTCCAGCCCTGAAGAGATGCTCAGGCCTCTGCAGACTCTGGACGCTGGCTGTGCTCCCGAGAAGCCCTTGGGACGTGAGGCCCCCACAGGACCTGGGTTGCCTTATCCCTAGCTGGATCCAGCAAGGCAGGCAGGTCTTGGGTCCCAGCTAACTCTAAATTCTGCTCCCCAATTCTTCTTCTCGGTGGGACCCACTCCACAAGGGTTCGATGCTGGTGACAAGCTCTATGGCAGAGGCCGCTCCTCAGAACCATTTTTGCAGCCTCTTTTAGAAGCAGGGCTCGGTGCCCGAGATGCCCCCTTTTCCTCATTTCTTATTGCTTTCCCTTTAGCAGGGAAAGGGAGCCAAGGCTTGAGCCAAGGAGTTGAGAACTCCTCCTGTCCTTTACACCGGGACCCTGGGGTGTCAGGACCAGGGATAGTCTCCCAGCAGCAAGGGTCATGTGACTATCACTTGCTGTATCTCTGCATGCACATGTGTGTAGGTGAAGGCATGTTGTCTGCATCTATCATGCACATCGCTCGTGTCCACACATCTGTCTGTGTGCACACGTGTCTCCCAGCTGTGTTTCCTAGTGAGTGGCCCTGGGTGTGCGTGGCTGTGAGTCTGCCTCAGAGTGCCCTCTCTGGGCTTGGCCTCTGCTGTAGTTTCCCTTTTGACAGAGATTGCTAGAAAGTCATGCCTCATGCTGACAGGCCCTCCTCCCTGCACTGGGACCTGTGAGTTCTGAGTGTCTGTGTTGGGCCAAGGCCATCTCCCTACCCCGACCCCTTGCCGTATACTTTGAGGCCTGCAGCTGGTCCTCGGAGCAGGGACCAGGTTGGAATCCTGCCCAAGACCCTCTTCTCAGCAGGGTGTGCAGTGGCTGTAGGCACTCCAAGGTCCTGGTCCTCATATCCCACGCCCTCTTGGGAAACGTGGGGCCTCTGAAGCTGTTGACTGCAACCACCTTTGTGGGTCAGTCTGGGCCGACAACCTGCTTCAGGCACAGTGCCTAAGGTCGGACATCCCCACTGGTGCTTTGACTTCTGATTCCCCCTTGACGCTCACAGTGACTTTTCCGTGCCACGGACGACCTCCAGCCTCAGGTCTCCAGAGCCCCCAAGCTCTCTTCTATTGTCCCAGCTGTTTACCTTCCTGGCCTGAGGCCCTACCGAAACCTTCATCACATCGGCTCCTTCCTCCAGGTGCCAGGCAGCCTTTTGCACGGAGCTCACAATTCCCTTTAACAACAGGGTGGCAGCTAGCACACCCGGTGCCCTGTGCACCTGGCACCTCACACACAGGTTCTTCGAGGGGCATGACATCTTCCCTCGAAACTGAGAAGAAACCCAGGGCCAGGGATCAGCTCAAGCGCTTACAGGACCAGCAGGAGGCGCTTAGGAAGTGGCCAGGGCAGGAGACAACTGAGCCCTGTAACTGGAGCCCCACCCCATGGTCACACCCCCACCCTCAAAACTCAGGCTGGAGGTGTGCTGCTGGCAGCATGTGGCAGAGGCTGGACAGCAGAGGCCACTCTAGACACACACCTGGAGGAAGCAGAGACCCCCCCCCCCCAGCTGCCCACCCCACATTCACCCCTTCTAGTTCTGAGAAGGCCAATTCCGGGAAGCAGCAAGGCCTGTCCTGGCCTGCAAATGCTGTTTCCTGGAAAACAGGCGTATGGTCCCCAGCGGGGGCCTCACAGGGAGGTTCACATCCCGAGGATGCTGACAGCCTGGAGCGGTAGGGTGGGCTACGGCCAGCTCGGGCCACCAGATACAGCTGGTAGGGGCGAGGTTAGCAGAAGCAGAACACCGTGGTGGGTGGCCAGAGAAGGAGCTGTCACCACTGGGGACTCCAGTGCCATCTGGAAGTCCCTGTCCTTCCTGAGTTCCATCCCACTCCCAGCTCCTGCTGAGTGATAGTGATGTCTTACTTAACCCTGATCACTCCTGGAAACTGGGTGGTGGGGGATGGGGGTGGAGCATGGGGGAGTCTGTGAGGGGTGGGTGTGGGGTCAGAGAAAAACTGAGGGGCCCAGAGACAGAGGCTCAGGCTGGAGAGGAGACCCTGGCAGAGCATTCTAAGGGGTGCTTGTCACACGCAACCCTGGGCCCCTCTGTCTAAGGCCCATGTGACTCAAAGAAAGACACACTATCTCACACCTCTTGGGCTCCGTAGGGGTGGAGCAGTGGCCTGTTGGGACGCAGAGAGAGCGCAGGCCGGTCTGGTCCTTGGAGTTTGAGGTGGGTACTCAGAGGACTAACACTGTGCATATCCCCGAGGGCCTCTTTGAAATCACTCAGACACTGGGCATTGGGTACGGGAGGTCAAACGTGGCCCACAGTGCCAGGGGAGCAGTGAGGAAGGAACAGGGCTTGGCTCTCTTCCTGCGGCACCCTTCACTCTGCAGGCCGGTGGAAGGTGGGAGCAGGGATTAATAGGCCCGGACTTGTTCACTTTCCCTGAGCACAGAGGCCCCATGGGGGCCGCTCTAATTGGTTCATGTCTGACTGTAGCAAAGAACAAATTGATTTCCCTCCAGCTGTTTCTGCAACCACAGTCCTCACTCAGCCGTGGGCAGCCTGCTGTGCCATCCCGCTTCCTTGGCAGTATTGGGGCGAAGGAAGGGGTCTTGTGCAAAGAAGGGATCCTGCCTCAGTGTCCCAGAGTATACACACACACACACACACACACACACACACACGCACGCACGCACGCACGCACGCACGCACGCACGCACACTCGCAAACATGCATGCTCGCACGCACGCTTGCACACCTTGGCAGTGACCAGGAGGCCCCACAGTCTTCAGTACTCCCTGCAGCAGTTAGCAAAGCCAAATTTCTAACAAGATCCTGTGGTTAAAAACCAAAGTGTTCCCCCTACACAGGGCTTCGCAGGCAAAGCCTCAGCCATCTTGGAGTCTTTACCCGCAGGACACAGTATTTTCTTGCCCCAGGGCCTTTGCGCATGCTAAGAATATTTGCTCATCTCCCTTCCCACAAACTCGCTGGCCAATGGACGATATATGCGTGTCCTCTGGTCTCTGCTGGCAGGTCCCCACTTGGGCCGCTTCTCCTGGGTGCGGGGAGGGGCTTTGTCCCTTCCCGCCCTCAACCCGCTGTGCTTGGCTTACTTTGTGTGGAATCCTTGCCTTGGCAGGACTAGTGTTTCTCCCTAAGGAGCAAATGCGTTCCCTGTCCTCACAGCCGCCATCCTGTGTGCACACCCCGCGTGTGTCAGTGCCTGAGGAACCACAGGGGCTCCCACCGGGAGGAGGTGTGAAACAGGGTTAGTGAGAGGGAAAGCTGCAGGGGCCCCAGGCTTCCAGGCGTCCAGGCTCCGAACTGACTGGCAGAGCAACCAGCAACCAAAGAGAGAGTGGGAGGCCAGCCCCGCTGGCAGGCTGAGAACCAGCCAGGGACCCAGCCTGGCAGCACGGCCCAGGAGGCGCACACCTGGCCTCCTTCCGCTCGCTCAAATGTCCGCAGTGGGCTCTGCCCTCAGCACAGGCAGAAAGACCCCCCTTGCTCCCTACCCCTCCCAACCCCACCCGTCTCTCACTCCCCATTCTCTGTGACAGAGTTAGACCCAGGCTCCAGGCTCCATTTTCCTTTCCCTTCTGCTTTGCCCATTCTCCATATTTCTCCACCGCAAAGCAGAACCCTGGAGTTCACCCAGCCAGAAGAGTCCACCCCCTTCTCCGCCCTTTGCAGACCTTTCTGTTGGTGCCCACTCTCCTAAATCTGCATCATAAAAAAGCACCAGGACCAGTGGGGTAGGGAAAGCCTTCCTTGGTGGTGGTGGTGGGGGGGCAGGGGCGGAGGGAGAAGGGGCCAGGCTGTACTGGCAAGGTCAAAATTCTCTTTATTTCCCACTGACAGGGCCATTCACATGCTAATAAATCACGCTCCCATCGGGCATCTAGGCGGCCTTTCTGGCATTTTAACCGGGCACAATTGCTCTGTGAACAAGTCTACAAATAAGGATCCTGAGGTGTGGGGTGACAGGGGGCAGATAGAAAGCCACCCAGAGTGCAGAGGGCTAAGGAAAGGGAGGCTGTAAGCAGAACGTCCACAGCCTGCCTGGCTAAAAAGCACAGGCCCCTCCCCTGGACAACATCCTCCCGTTCCAGAGTGAAGGGTGGGCAAAACTGGTGACCGATAAAGTGAGATCACAACCAGGACTGACTGATGGACAGATACACATTGGGGTGCAGGTGGGAACTTCC